GGACTGCGAGACCTCCGCGCTGGGGAACGCACCTGGCGGCCGACGTTCGCGGGGTGGGTTGCCCCCTTGCTCTTGGCAGGGCCTTTGCCGGTGCCCTTGCCTGGTGTTGCCTGTGACTGCTGCGAGCTTGAGCTCTGGCTCACTTTATTAGCTGCCCTCGCAACTTCTGAAACACGCTTCTCAGCGATGTTCTTGGCGTCGGCCAGCACATCTCTGTCCAAGTCGCCCAGAAGCTTCCCTATCTGATCGTTTTCTTCCCGCTCCAATGCGCGGGCAAGTTTCTGCCTCAGCAGCAAGTCGTAGTGCGTGCACACACGAAAACCTCCGTATTCCTCAGCAACTCGAGTGAGCACCATCTGGTAAGCGAGCAACTGGGCGGCTGTGATGACCTTCGTGAGGACCATCTTGACACCCCAATCGAGGATGTGGCCATAGAACGTCGCAAACCCAAGGTAAGCCGTCTTATCTTCCATGGACCTGACTTTCTTTGCCTCCATTGCGCTCCGCAATTTCTCCTCGAAGGTTCCATCGCCGACAGTGACGTCGATCTTCGGCGTGCGGGACCACGAAGGCCGAAACGACGTTTGCAGGTCCTCGCCCTCTGCTGAGCCAATGTACAGCCTCCCCTGCTCTCGGGCAACCTTGCTTGCCTTTTCCAACCGAAGCAGTGACTCCTCTGAGGGGATCATATCCTTTGGCAAGCAACTGAGACCAAGCTCACCAAGGCGGTCCTTGAGATTGAAACTCAAGTATTCTTTCTTGGGTTGTTCTCTGTCCTTTGTTGCCTTTGCGAGGGCTTCGATGGCCTGGGCCAAGCCATCAGCTGGTGGCCCACTGGCGGGGCGCCCGTCCGCGACACGCTTGTCCAAAGCAGCTGCAGCACTCTGCACCTTCAAAGCAGCTGCCACGTGCGCTGGCGTGATCTTGACGTCTTTCCACTGCGTGTCGCCATCTCCCTCGAAGGGCTTGGCCCCGGCGCGGAAACCATCGATGACAAATGTGCGCATCTGCGCGTCTGCATAATCCGCTGGGACTGCCGAGCCCATGTGTTCCGCGAGGAGGCGCGCCACACTTCCATAGAAGAGTTCTGGGTGGCGCGTGGGCTCGTTTGCGTCCGCGACGAACTGGATCCACTTTTCCATATCGGCACCGGACAGGGCCAAGAACTTGCCTTCGGGCACGGTGGCCACCAAGGCCTGCACGGCTGCTGACTCGAGCGGCATGACCTCTCGGGCACACTCGACACAAGCAAGGCGGACGCGTGTAAGAAACACGGGGTAACGTCGACAATGCCTGGAGCCTATGGCAACGGATCGTGACTGACACGTCCATCCCTCTGTGGGACATGGGCGCCCATTACGTCCCTGCCCCAAGAGCACTCCCACCTGCGTCCAGCAGCCAGTTTTCCGATCGCGTCCAGCTGTCACAACGGCACGTCCGGCGCTTGAGCCCCAGCACGAAGGAGGGGAGGTGAGAGAGTCCTCCGCTCCGCTCCGCCGACCCTGCACGCAAAGTCGCACAGCTCTCGCCGCCGCACATCCCGGCGACCCCCCTTTGACGTTTATCGCGGCCAGGGGGGCCACTCGGGTCACCACATGCGAAACCATGCAAGCTACAGCAGTGCCACGCCGATCCCAGTCGAACCCCTTTGACCGCTCTGCGGCCAGGGGAACTACATGGGTCTCCCTGCTCCTCCCCCTCCGCCGGGCCAGAGTGAGGAGGGAGCCATTTTGAGCGTACCGAGGCCGTTTTGGCCAAGATGGCTGCGCGCGAGGGGGCTTCCGCTCATCCCACGCTAATGCGGACGAACGTCGTCGCCCTGAAATTTTTCGGACTGCCCGAAAATTGCGCCTGAGAAATCCGTCCGCAGTGGACCGAATTTCCAATTGCCCGAGCCCAAATTTCACGAGCTACACCAGAATTTAATTCTGAGTTCTCTGGTGAAAGGGCGCCAGCATGGATATTGCAATGACGCGCCATTTGGGACGCAGGCCCCCCGGGGTCGGTCGAGAACGGGAGCGCTGCACAAGTGCAAAGCACTCCCGCACCCGTTGTGTGCAGGTGGGGGGTTAGCCAATGCCCCCCCATCAAGGACTAGCTTCTGCCGCCTGCACACATCCGACCACGAGTGCCCAAAGTGTCCGTAGCCCGTCTTTCTGGCTCGCGCCGTCCTCGCGCACAGAGAGTCGCACACAAGTGCAACCTCCCCCAGGCAGGTCAGAAACTGCCAAATCACTCAAGTATGGACCTGGAAGCGCGAGTGCAACAAAACGGCGCCCTGAACGAAATCTGGAGCGTCGGCAACACTGGAATTGCAAATCGCGAATTTGCGTTCGCAGGTGCCTGAAGCCTTCGTGCCAGACCCAGAACCGCAGAGGCGTACCCAGGCCAGAAACTGGCGGAAACGCTGTGAATGCTACCCTGGGGCACCTTGCAACGTGGGGCAGAAAGCGCAGGCTGCGACAACAACGCGCCTCTGGGGCGCACCACGGGGCGCCACCTGGCCAGCAACGACCCGCTAGCAGGGGCCGTCGCACACCCAGCTGCCCATGCACGTCCTGTGCCGGACAGCAACGGACCCGACCAGGAAGCCCCGCTGGGAGACGCAGCGGAGTAAGCCTGCAATGTGAAAGCCTTTCCCTGCCTGCCCGTCCGTATGGGGATCCAAAGCGGACACAGCTGGGTACTGCCATGCCGCTGGCTGGGCCCTGGCGGACCCGACGGGGAAGCCCAGCTGGCCGCGCCGAAAGAAACCCAGCTGCGCATGCAATGTGGGAGCCCCCCCCCCGCCGGCCGGACCGAAACGGACGCGACGGGGAAGCCCAGCTGGCCAGACCGTGGCGGACCCAGCTGGGCATGCAATTCGAGAGCCCCTCCCGCAAGCCGGACTGTAGCAGACCCGACGGGACGCCCAGCTGGCCGGACCGTAGCGGACCCAGCTGGGCATGCAATACAAGAACCCCTCCCCGCCGGCCGGACCGTAGCGGACCCGACGGGGAGGCCCAGCTGGCCGGATCGTAGCGGACCCAGCTGGGCATTGCAATGCAACGTGGGACCCTCCCCGCCGGCCGGACCGTAGCGGACCCGACGGGGAGGCCCAGCTGGCCGGACCGTAGCGGACCCAGCTGGGCATTGCAATGCAACGTGGGACCCCTCCCCGCCGGCCGGACCGTAGTGGACCCGACGGGGAGGCTCAGCTGGCCGGACCGTGGCGGACCCAGCTGGGCATGCAATGCCAGCCGCGCCGTCCGTAGCCGCCGGGCATGGGATGCATCGCGCGCAAGACCGCGACAGAGAGCGCAGAAGTGAGCTGGAGCGAGCACACAGAGCAACCACGGCGGGCTAGGGGTGAACGACTGGGTTACCCTGGCCATTGTTGCACTAGACCCGGCGGGAAGCACCGCACAGAGCGAACGGCATGACGAGAACCGCAGACGTGGAGAACGAGAGACCCTGCAGGAAGCCGCCGGGGCCCAGAGCCCCAGCCCGGCCGAGCCGCGGCACACCCCGCAGGGACAGACGAGGCACGCGCACTGGACAGACCAAGTCAGCCAGGAGCGCGCCTGCGTAGCCACGGCGAACGTGGCGACGAGGACGCCGGGAACTTGCTACCCCGCCCCCGCGCCGGGCGGCAAACCACAGAGCCCCGACGACACGCGCCAACGCCGCCGCTCCTACTGGAGCCAACCAGGCCATGAGGAAACCATGAAACTCCCCAAACGGACCAAACGACCAACCGTGGGAAACTACGGCCGAAACGCCGATTTTCCTCCCCACGAAAGAACCTTTAGGGGGTAAGAAAAGCGCCTCCCAGTATGCTTCCGCAGTGCGCCTGTGGGGCGACGCTGCCACTGCTGTCGGGGCGCCTGGGTGGCCACCAACAGAACTGATCCTTGACACTTTCGTTGGTTTGTTTCGCAACGGCCACACCTTGCAGAGATACGTGTCGCACGTGCGCAGTGTATTGCACTTGGTGCAGGCTCCGCTGGGCGCCCTCGCAGATACGCATAGATTGTCGAGAGGCGCCGAAAAGATAACGAAGTATGAATTCAGAAGAGAGAAAATCCGTGCCACAGCTGAGGAGACCAGACGCATCCGTGAGTGGTGCTCGGAAGCCGGATATCCGACACTAGCGGCCTCGTGGGCGATTGCCCGCCATTTTTGCTTGAGATATTCTGAAGTACTAAATCTGCGGACCCACGCGGTCGCATTTCGTTTTACCGGCGAGGGCCGTAAAACGTGCATCATCCGTTTTGCTCACCGGAAGTCGTACAATGAACCCTGCGAGACGACGAGGCGTTGCATCTGCCACCAGCAGGGTCGGCTCCTGCGCGGTGCTTGCACACTGTTCTCCTTAGGAGAAACAAGCGCTGTTCCTTTTTCAGGAATCCAATACGCCGACGCTCTCGCTGTGCTAAAGCTGGCAGCGAACGCCCTGCATCTGCGCAGCGCGCCTGCTTGGGGCACGCATGCGTTCAGGAGAGGGTTCGCAAACGAAGCCCTCCAACAAGGAGGGCCGACAGCATTGTTCTTTAGCGGTGGATGGAAAGGCGTGGCTGCTTTCGGCTATGCTAGCGCCCAGAGCCGAGGGGCTCTCTCGGCCGCTGAATGGCTAGTAGAACATTCTGACTCCAGCGACGGCGAGCAGGACTGAGTTCGCATCGTTTGCATTGGGGCAAGGGAAAACGCATCACGATGTCCTCTCCTCAGGCGCTGCTGCGCGGTCCGCCGCCTCCTGGTGCATTGGGAACCTCAGGACAGGGTCCCAGGAGGCTCCGGCCAGGCAGCGCTTTCCTTTTGCCCCTTGCTGGCGCGAAGGCGCCGGCGCCGAGCCGTGACGGGGCCCCGGGGCCCGAGAACGTGTTCCGAGGTGCTTCGGGGCACCGCAGAGGCGAGGGCCTGCTTTCCCTTGGGCCGGGCTGCCAAAAATGATTTTCATGAAGCGTAAACTCGTTTCCGGCACAGGAAAATCATGTGGAGCAGGCTCAAGCGTGTTCGCCTCACCTCCTCTGCTCCATCTCACACGCCTCTGCGCCTGCTTCGCGGGCAAGCGGTTCCTGGCGGGCCGGCTTGCGTTTTCGGAGGCGGAAGTATTCTCGGTGCTAGTCTCTTGTGTCAGCCGTTCTGGTCGCCCCACAGGAGGCGCTCTCGGTCTCTGCGGGGAGCAGGGCCAAGCCAGGCCAAATGGTGCGCTGTGGCACTGCCCGCTCCCTCGCGGCACGTGCCTGAGAGCTTGTCGGCAGGGGCCGCCTTCTCAGGCTCTCTGACCGAACGCTTTCCGCGTGGGGCGGCGCCCGCAGGGCGGGCAGCAGCCGCCTGGCGGCGGTTTTGCCCACCCACATACCACCCTCGCGGCTTTCGCCGGCGCCACGTCCTGGCAGGGAACCTCAGGACAGGGTCCAGGAGGCTCCGGCCAGGCAGCGCTTTCCTTTTGCCCCTTGCTGGCGCGAAGGCGCCGGCGCCGAGCCGTGACGGGGCCCCGGGGCCCGAGAACGTGTTCCGAGGTGCTTCGGGGCACCGCAGAGGCGAGGGCCTGCTTTCCCTTGGGCCGGGCTGCCAAAAATGATTTCCCCCAACCATCCTGTGGTGTTGGGTCCTCGTTTGGAAGAAACGGTGCCCCGCGTTCCCGCCTCCTTCCTCCCTCCCTCCTCCCCCTCCTCCCCCTCCCACACCCATTCTGGCACACCCCTCACACGTTTCGTGGCCCCATAAGGAGATCCACCGAAGGCCCCAGTGGCTGCGCTCGCATGCGGTTCCACCCCCCATTCTGGCACACCCCTCACACGTTTCGTGGCCCCATAGGAAGCTCCACCGAACGCCCCAGTGGCTGCGCTCGCATGTGGTTCCCCCGCGCAGATTTCGGCACACCCCTCACACGTTTCGTGGCTCCATAGGGAGCTCCACCGAAGGCCCCAGTGGCTGCGCTCGCATGCGGTTCCACCCACAAATTTGGCATATCCCTCACACGTCTCGTGGCCCCATAGGGAGCTCCACCGAACGCCCCAGTGGCTGCGCTCGCATGCGGTTCCACCCCCCATTCTGGCACACCCCTCACACGTTTCGTGGCCCCATAGGGAGCTCCGCCGAAGGCCCCAGTGGCTGCGCCCGCATGCGGTTCCACCCCCCATTCTGGCACACCCCTCACACGTTTCGTGGCCCCATAGGGAGCTCCACCGAAGGCCCCAGTGGCTGCGCCCGCATGCGGTTCCACCCCCCATTCTGGCACACCCCTCACACGTTTCGTGGCCCCATAGGGAGCTCCACCGAAGGCCCCAGTGGCTGCGCTCGCATGCGGTTCCACCCCCCATTCTGGCACACCCCTCACACGTTTCGTGGCCCCATAGGGAGCTCCACCGGACGCTCCAGTGGCTGCGCTCGCATGCGGTTCCACCCCCCATTTCGGCACACCCCTCACACGCTTCGTGGGTGGCTCCATGGGGTGCTCCACCGAACGCCCCAGTGGCTGCGCTCGCATGTGGTTCCCCCCCCATTCCGGCACACCCCTCACACGGTTCGTGGCCCCATAGAGAGCTCCACCGAAGGCCCCAGTGGCTGCGCTCGCATGCGGTTCCACTCGATTTTTCGGCACGCCCTTCACACGCCTCGTGGCCCCAAACGCCGCAGTGGCTGCGCTCGCATGCGGTTCCACACCCCATTTCGGCACACCCCTCACACGCTTCGTGGCTCCATAGGGAGCTCCACCGAAGGCCCCAGTGGCTGCGCTGGCATGCGGTTCCACACCCCATTCTGGCACACCCCTCGCACGTTTCGTGGCCCCATAGGGGGCTCCACCAAAGGTCCCAGTGGCACTGCCCGCTTGCGTCCGCCACCACCCAGCACAGCCCTTGTTCCCTGCGCTTCACCCACCCAGAACAGCGCTTCGTAGCCCTATAGGGAGCTCCACCAAAGGTCCCAGCGGCACCGCCCGCATGCGTCCGCCACCACCCTGCGCAGCCCTTGCTCCCTGCCTGCGTTTCACCCACCCAGTACAGCGTTTCGTGGCCCCATAGGGAGCTTCACCGAAGGCCCCAGTGGCACCGCCCGCATGCGTCCGCCACCACCCAGCACAATTGCGGCATTCACAACTGCATATGGTTGGGTCCTTCGCCAGGCTAATTTGTTCGGTTTCGTGCGTGGTTTTTCCGCCAAATGATAAAGGATGCTCCTCGATGGTTCTCACCTAGAAAAAAATGCACACGTCCGAACGATGCCAGGACGTTGAGCAAACTCGGTGCACCTCCCAGGCGCGAGGCGCCCAAAGAGGCGCCCACGGAGGGGCACGGGCGGCAACGCGGCGAAGACCCAGAAGATCCAACCAATTACGCAGGGAAGAGTGCTAAGAACCCCTGGGTGGAAGCACTTTGTCGGAACACGAGACGGGGCTCTCGACGAAAAGCATGCCCATGGGGCTCTCGTCTGTCAGTGGAGAGCCTCCTGCAGTGAGAATGCATGCATGCACGGACTTACGACGCAGGGACTTAGGAAGGGGCGATGGGAGAATTGCATTATCGCTGACGCACCCCGGGTTTAACTACTATGGTCCTCCGTCCTCCTCCTCCGCCCCCCTCTCGAATGAAAGCCCCCCCTGCCAATTGCGCGTCCAACGATGGTGGGTCAAGGCATGCAACTTCCATTCGGGGATCAAGGTCTTGCAGAACACCCCGTTCGGCAGGAAGTGGCAGAGGACCCAGCGCATTGGGAAGGGATGGGGACGTCAGATGTGGCGCGAGCGCACCTGGCCCGTCGTTTTCTCTTCCCCTCGTTCTCCTCCTTTCGGATTGTGGTTGGTTGTTTTTTTGTTGGTGCAAATTTTCTGATTTTTTAGGGTTTCTTTTTCCTGGGGGGCCCTGATAGGGCTCTGTGCGCACACGCAATGCCCATCCGCGGCTGCGTGCCGCACGAGCGGTGCGAATCGGCGAGAGCCGCCCATCGTACGGTGTGCCACGGGTCGTCCTCGCACCGCTTGCCGAGGGCTCGCGGCTCTGCTGCTCGGAGCTCCGGGAGCTCGGCACCCGTCTTGAAAGCTGCGAGCGGCAGGAGCTGGCCTCCAGGAGCGCGTCTCGTTCTAGCTCTCCCCTCCCCTCCCCCTCTCAGGGCTGCACTTCCGCCTCCCGTCTCTCCCCCCCACTCCGCCTCCCTCGCTCCTTATTCAGAGGCCCCCCAGGGGACCTCCAAAATTACCCAGAGGCCCCTCTGAGGCCGACGACGCCAGAAAGCACCCAAAGATGCCCCCAAAGGCGTCCAAAAGCAACGTCCCTCCTCGTCCTCCTCATCCTTCTGCTCCTCCTTCTTCCTGCTGCTGTCGCTCCTCCTCCTCCGCCTCTCCGCCTCCTTCTTCTCATCTGGCGTCCCGAGAATAATGTAACCCTTGAATTATTCTTCCAACAACACCCAGGCCATCCATGAGGCCCCCGCGCCCCGCAACCGGGCAACATCGCCAGGTGCGCAAACATGCGACTCCCCCCTTATCCTTCTTCTTCTTCTCCTCCTCCTCCTCCTCCTCCTTCTCCCCGTCGTCAGAATCACACGCATAAGAAGCATCCCTCGTCTCGACCAACACCTGCTCTGCCTCGGTCCTCGTGAGGCCCATCCTCGACAGTTCTCCATCCCAGATCGATGTCCGAAAGTTCTGGAAGCCGAAACAGGCCTTCCGAGGCTGAGTGAAAATGGGGAACACACCTTCGAACCTCGATCCTGAATGACCTCCCTTCAACCTGCGTCCAGCAGCGACCTCCCCCCCTCCTCCTCATGCGATATGACTCGAGGCGAAGCCCAATGAGTTCACCACAACGAGGCGGGTGGCGCTCCTCTCGTCCGCCTGCGCCACCGCCTGCGCTCCTCTCGCCCTCTGAGCAGGCCACCGATGCCAGAATCGGCGTGCAGCGCCAGCCCTTCCTCCTCCCTCCTCCGTCCTCCCTTCTCCTCCCTCTTGCCCCATCCTGCTCCGTCCTCACTCCCCACTCCCCGCACTCCTCCTCCTCCTCCTCCTCCTCCTCCTCCTCCTCCTCCTCCTCCTCATTCCCATTCCCGGCTCCGCCTCCCCCCCTCTCCCCACTCCTCATCCCTCCTCATCCCTCCTCCTCCTCCTCCCTCCTCCTCCCTCCTCTCCTCCTCCTCCTCCTCCTCCTCCTCCTCCTCCTCCGTCCGCCCCACAGCCTTCCCCCCCCCCCTGCCCTCCCCTCTGCTCCCCCCTCCCCCGGCGCTCCTGCTCGGGCCGCGCACCTTCTCGGCGCCCAGGCCGCCGCCGACGGGCGCGGCGCCTCCCGAGCCGCCGCCGACGGCCGCGGCAGCGCGGGCGCGGCCTCCGCGAGCGGACCGCCGCGGCTTTCGGACGGCCGCCGCCGCTCGAGGCCCTGGGCGGCCGTCGAGCGGCGATCGCCGAGCGGCCCTCGTCGTCGAGGTCGGGGTCGAGGTCGAGTTCGAGATCGAGGACGAGGTCGAGGTCGAGGTCGGGGTCGGGGTCGAGATCGACATCGAGGTCGAGGTCGAGGTCGAGATCGAGGTCGAGGTTAAGGTCGAGGTCAAGGTCGAGGTCGTCGTCATCGTCGAGGTTGTCGAGGTCGGGGCCGTCGTGATCGTCGTCGCAGTCATCGTCTTTGTCGTCGAGGTCGTCGTGGTCGTCGTGGTCGTCGTCGTCTTCGTCGTCGTCGTCGAGGTCGTCGTCGTCATCAACGTCGAGGTCGTCCTCGTCGTCGTCGTCGTCGTCGTCGAGGTCGTCGTCGTCGTCCTCAACGTCGAGATCATCGTCGTCGTCGTCGTCGAGGTCGTCGTCGTCGTCGAGAACGTCGTCGTCCCCGTCGTCGCCGTCGAGGTCGTTGTCTCTGTCGTTGTTGTCGTCGTGATAGAATGTGTCGTCGTCGAGGTCGTCGTTGTCGTTGTCGTCGTCATCGTCGTCCGTCGTCGTTAAGGTTGTCGTCGTCGTCGTCGTCGTCGTGGTGGTCGTCGTCGTCGTGGAGGTCGTCGTCGTGCTCGTCGTCGTCGGCGCAGTCGGTCGTCGTCGAGATTGTGGTCGTCGTGTTCGTCGTGGACGTCGGCGTCGTCGTCGTGGTTGTCGTCGTCGTCGAGGTCATCATCTTCGTCGTCGTCGTGATCGTGATCGTCGTCGTCTTCGTCGTGGTCGTCGTCGTCGTGGAGGCCCTTGTCGTCGAGAATCTCGTCGCCGTCGTCATCGTCGTCTTCGTGGGCGTCGTCGTCGTCGACGTCGTCGTCGAGGCTGTCGTCGTCTTCGTTGTCGTCGTCATCGTCGTCGTCGACGGTCGTCGTCGTCGTCGTCGTGGTCGTGGAGGTGGTCGTCGTCGTCGTGGTCGCGTCGTCGACGAGGTCATCGGCGTCGTCGTCGTCGTGGTCGTCGTCGTGGTCGTCGTGGTCGTCGTCGTCGTGGTCGTCGACGGTCGTCGTCGTCGTCGTCGTCGTCGTGGTCGTGGAAGTCGTCGTCGTCGGTCGTCGTCAGGGTGGTCGTTGTGATCGTCGTGCTCGTCGTCGTCGTCGTCGCAGTCGTCGTCGTCGTCGTCATCGTCGTCTTCGTCGTCGTCAGTCGTCGTCAAGGTTGTCGTCGTCTCCGTCGTCGTGGACGTCGTCGTAGTCGTCATCGTCGGTCGTCGTCGTCGAGGTCGTCGTGGATGCCGTCGAGATCGCCGTGGTCAAGGTCGTCGTCGTCGTCGTCATCGTTGTCGTCGAGGTCGTGGTCGTCGTCGGGGGTCGTCGTCGTCGTCGTCGTCAACGTCGAGGTCGACGTCTCTGTCTCGTCGTGGTCGTGGAGTTTCTCGTCGTCGAGGTCGTCGTCGTCGTTGTCGGTCGTCGGTCGTCGTCGTCGTCGTCGTCGAGGTCGTCGTCGTCGTCGTCGTCGTCGTTGTCGTCGTCGTCGACGGTCGTCGTCAAGATTGTCGGCGTCGTAGTCTTCGTCTCGTCGCCGTCGTCGTCGTGCTCGTCGCCGTTGTCGTCGTGGTCGTCGTAGTCGTCGGTCTGCGTCAAGGTTGTCGTCGACGTCGTCGTCGTGGTCGTCGTCGGTCGTCGTCGTCGAGGTCGTCGTCGTCGTCGTGGTCAACGTCGTCGTCGTGCTCGTCGTCGTTTTCGTCGTCGGTGTCGTCATCGAGGCTGTCGTCGTGGATGTCGTCGAGATCATCGTCGCCGTCGTCGAGGTCGTCGCCGTCGTTCTCGTCGTCATCGTCGTGGTCGTCGTCATCGTCGGTCGTCATCAAGGTTGTCGTCGTCGTGGTCGTGGTCGTCGAGGTCGTCGTCGTCGTCGAGCGGCCGTCGAGCGGCCTCGGCGACGGCCCTCGGCGGCGGCCCTCGGTGGGATCGTGGGATCGGTGGGCTCCAGGCTCGGAGATCGAGAGCTCGAGGCTCGAGGAGCCAGGCCCGAGGATCCAGGCCCGAGCATCGAGGGTCGCGGCTCGAGGATCCAGGCTCGAGGATCGGGGATCGAGGCTCGAAGCTCGAGGCTCGGGGAGCTCGCTTCGAGGGCCGATGTCTTGGGACGCTCCTCTGGCCCTCTGCAAGTCTCTCTGGGGGCCGCCGGAGCTCCTCCAGGAACCGTCGACCTCGTCGTCGTCCTCGTCGTCGTCGTCGTCTTCGTCCTCGTCGCCGTCGTTCAGGTTGTCGTCGTCGTCGTCGCCGTCGTCGTCGTCGCCGTCGTCGTCGTCGTCGCCGTCGTCGTCGTCGTCGTCGTCGTCGTCGTCGTTGTCGTCGTCGAGGTCGCCGTCGCGAAGGAACCTCCAAGGAACATCCTGGGACTCGGGACCTACCGGCGGCCCGGCAGACATCGCCGCGGGCCGCAGCGGCCCTCGGCGGCCGCAGGGCAGCGGCCCGTAGGTCGGCGGCGGAGGTCGTCGGTCGTCGTTCGTCTGCGTGGTCGTGGTCGTGATCGTCCGTGGCCGGTCTTGGGTCGTCCGTCGTCGGTCGTCGGTCGTCGTTGTCGTCGCCGTCGTGGTCGTCGTCGTCGTCGTCGTCGTCGTCGTCCGCCGTCGTCGTCGTCCGTCCGTCGTCGTCGTCGTCGTCGTCGTCGTCGTCGTCGTCGGTCGGCGTTCGTAAGCGTGGTCGTGGTCGTAGTCGTCCGTCGTCTGTCTTCGGTCATTTGTCTTCGGTCGTCGGTCGTTGGTCGTCGCTCGCTGCCGGGGGCGGCGGTGTCTTCGGCGACATGCTCTTCGTCGCCGTCGTCGCCGTCGAAGCTCAGTGCGTCCTTGGGGTGTGGGGATCCCTCGAATCCGCTCGGATCCCAGCGGCGGTCGAGGATCAATTGTCGAAGTCCGAGAAACGAGGTTTGGGATGCTTCTGAGCCTTCCTGGGCTCCCCACGACGACGGCGACGACGACGGTGGCGGCGGAGACAGCGACGACGGCGGCGGCGGCGACAGCGGAGACGGCGGCGACGGCGGCGGCGACGGTGGCCAAGGAGGCGGCGGCGGCGCCAGCGGCGAAGGGGGCAGCGACGACGGCGGCGGAGGCGGCGATGACTGCGACGGCCGCGAAGGGGCCGCGGGAGCGGCGACGATGGCGGCGACGTCGCGCCAACGGGGCGGCAGCGAGCGGCGGCAGAGAGCGCTGCCTGCCGCGGCGGAGCCGGGCCGCACGGGGGAAGCGGCCGGCAGTCCGTCGAACCGCAGCGCGGCCTCTCGGGGCCGCCACCGACACCGGCGCCGCCCCTACGTGCCGCCATCGTCGCCGCCGTCACCGTCGCCGCAGTCATCGCCGCCCCTCGTCCTCGTCCTCGTCGTCGCCGTCGTCGTCGTTGTCGTCGTCGTCGTCGTCGTCATCTCAGAGGGCGTCGTAGCGCAGAGGGGCCATTCGGGTTCGTCGCCTCCGTCGCCGTCATCGCAGTCGTCGCCGCCGTCGCACTCGTGAGCCGTGGTCGTCGAAGCGCAGCACGGTCACTTGCCAGAACGCTTCGGAACAAATCAGAGGGTCGACTTTGGGGGCGAAGGCGATGGAGGACACTGACGTTTTGGTCAGGTTGGGCCTTCCGTCGAAGAGGCGGGCTCGCTGCCACTGCAGGGCCCGCCTCGACATCCACGTCAAAACGCGGCGGCGACGACGACGCTGACGACGACGACGCTCACGACGTTGCCGCCAACACTCGCAGTAACGTCGCGGTGGTGGTGGCGGCGTTGACGACCCCGCCGCTCACGGTGCTGCCACCGACACTCAAGACAACGATGGCGGCGGCGGCGACGAGCGCAGGACGTCGCCGACGCCCTCGACAACGGCGGCGGTGGCGATGACGAGGAGGGACGTGGAGGAGGAGCCCTGTCCTCCGACGGAAGCATGTGCGCAAACGAAAAAATCTTGTGTCCCCAACCACGATGTCCAACCCTCCGTAGTCCCCCTTCGGCGCCCACAGCTCCGACAAGGCACTGTTTCCGCGGCGTGCGCCCCTGGGTCTCGATCCCGCCAAACCCAGGGTCGGCTTTCGGCCCTGTGCCTGGGAGGCCAAGAGCCGCGAAGAGCCCTGCCGGACGCCACGATGCCACCACATGTAGACGCCTGACTGGCGCCGCGATATACACGTACGCTGTGTTCCAGCGGCGCCCAGACCTGGAGCGGAAGAGTGACGACGACCGATTTGATCTGACACTCCCCCGACGCGGGACAACCGCGGCGCTGCCGCGACCAGAGGACAGTTGGGGGACGGGCGCGACAACGGCAGCGGCGGCGGCGACGGGCACGCAGCACGAGGGCGGCCCGTGGCGGCGGCGACGAATACGCGGCACGACGGCGGCCCGCGGCGGGCGGCGACGAGCACGCAGCACGACGGCGGCCCGCGGCCGGCGGCGGCGAGGACGACGGCGGGCACCGACGGCGGCGGCGACGGGCATCGGCGGCGGCGGCACGCGGGCGCGGCCTCGGGCGCCGTCGTGGCGCCAGCCCAGGGCCCGCCGGTGGCCGCCGCGCCGGGGGCGGGCCCGGAGAGGCCGCCCGCGCTGGTGGGGCGGCCGCGGGCGGCGCTCGGGGGCCGCCGGACCTCGGGCAGGTCGGGCGGGGCGTGCGGCGGCGCCTCCGCGGCCGCCGCCTCCCAGCGCGGAGGAGGGCCGGGGCCTCCGACGACGGTGTTTTTGTTGTTTTCGTTGAACGTTCACTTCTGAAGAATAATTATTGCTGATCCCCCCCCGCCAGTGCATATTATTTTTTCTGAATCAAAGTGTGCCCTTCGAAGCTCGCGCCCTGTTTTTTATTAGGAAAGGTCTTGAGGCTCAAAAGGCTCAAACTGAGCCCTTGGCCCCCCAGATTACAACAACAACGGCTCCCGCCTGGGACGTCCTCACAATTTAGCCTGGACCCCCGCTCCCGTCCGAGACTCCCTCGCATTTTATTCAGGAATCGCGCTCTCGCTTGGGACTTGCTTACAATGTATTTAGGAGTCGCTCTCCTGCGCTCTGGAGTCGCGCTCTCGCTGGAGACTTGCTGGCAACTTACTGATCAATAACGCCCCTGCGTTGGAATTTCCTGCAATTTACTCAAACGCCGCGCTCCCGACACCCAGGCAACCAGGAATCGCGCTCACGCTTAAGACTCCCTCACAGATTACCTGGGAATCGGGATCTCGTTGCCCTTCGTGGCCCCGTTGCAACCCTTCGTGGCCCCCTCGCTTTGTTTCGTGGCCCCGTTGCAACCCTTCGTAGCCCCCTCGCTGCCCTTCGTGGCCTTGTTGCAGCCCCTCGTGGCCTCCTCGCTGCCCTTCGTGGCCCCGTTGCAGCCCTTCGTAGCCCCCTCGCTTTGTTTCGTGGCCCCGTTGCAGCCCTTCGTGGCCCCGTCGAAGCCCTTCGTGGCCCCGTTGCAACCCTTCGTGGCCCCCTCGCTGCCCTTCGTGGCCCCGTTGCATCCCTTCGTGGCCCCCTCGCGGCCCTTCGTGGCCCCATATATGTATGCCCTTTGTGGCCCCCGCTCGTTCGCGCCCGTGGTGGCCCCATATGCATGCCATTCGTGGCCCCGCTGTGGCCCTTCGTGGCCCCCTCGCTGCCGTTCGTGACCCCGTTGCTGCCCTCATTGGCCCCCGTCCTTGCCCTCCGCGGCCCCGTATACGTATGCCCTTCGTGGCCCCCGCTCATTTGCGCCCGTTGTGGCCCCATGCGCATGCCCTTCGGGCCCCCGCTGTCGCCGCTTGTGGCCTCCTCACTGTCCTACGTGGCCCAGTTGCTACCCTCAGTGGCCCCATCGTTGCCTTCTGTGGCCCCGCATTATCTGCCCTTCGTGGCCCCCGCTCGTTCGCGCTCTTCGTGGCCCCATACGCATTCCTCTCGTGTCCCCGCTGTCGCCTTTCGTGGCCTACTTCGTGTCCTTGTGGCCCTGCTGTCGTTCTCTCTCGCTCTCGCTTTCGCTCGTCGTCGTCGTCGTCGCCGTTGTCGTCGTCGTCTCCGTCGTCGTCGTCGTCATCGACGTCGTCGTCGGTCCCCTGTCCGTCCCTCTTGGGGTCGGGTCGACGGTCCGCGGCCGCCCAGCCGATCAGCGCTGCCGCCGGCCAGGCCGACGGTCCGCGGCCGCCCCGCCGCTTGCCGGGGCCCGGCCTGCAGGGAAGAAAGGTATGACCCCCAGAAGGGGTTCGATCGAAGACGAAGAGGGCGGGTATCGAGGGTTTGGGAAATACGCGTTATTGGACAGTCGAGCAGATAAGGGCGAACAGTCTTGAAAAGATTGTTGTTGTTGTTCCCGCCCAGCAGGTGGGGGCTGTCAGGGTGGAGGGAAGCTCCCGATCCGTCTGGCACTCCCTGCGCACTGCGGCCGCGAGGCCCCGAGAGGAGCCCAGCGCTTCGCGAATTGCCTGCCTCGAGTTCTCTGGTGCACGCCACGGAGGAGGAGGAGGATAAGGAGGAGGAGGAGGAGAAGGAGAAGGAGGAGGAGGAGGAGGAGGAGGAGGAGGAGAAAGAGGAGGAGGAGAAAGAGGAGGAGGACGAGAAAGGATTAGGAGCAGGACGGATGAGAAGGGGGAGGAGGACGACGACGTGGGGAGCGCTCGGAGCCGAACAGCTCTTTCAGCATGGGCCAAGACATCGCTGTGATTGTTTACCGGATGGGGCCTCTGGGGGCCGACTGCGGGCCGCGAGGCTCTCAGAAGCAGATCGCGGGGCAGATTTCCTGCCCCTTCCTTTTTCCCAGTCCCCCCCCCACTTCGTTGGACACGACCTCAGGGAGAGGCCCAGGAAGGAGCACGGTGCCAGAGGGTACGCGAAGTAAGGCCCGAAGCCCCTTCGGCACCAAAAACGCCTGGGTGCTCGGGGAGCGATTGAGGAAACAAATATGGAGGGAGTCAAGGAACAGCGAGCCCCTCCGAACCTGAGCTGACCCTTACGAATGTAGCTATGCAGATGCAGTGGGTACCTATATGCATAGAAAATGGATGTGCCTTGACCTCGGGTGCGCTGGCGGGACTGGGCCTGGAGTTCCAACGGAGAGCCCCAGGAGGGCCCAAGAGTACCCTAAGCCCCAAGACGGGCCAAAAGGGCTCCAAGAGGCCTTTCAGACGGTCCAAAAGGACCACGAGTCGCCGAGCGATCAGTCCAAGATGCTCCAAATGGTCTCCACACGGCCAAAGAGGCCTCCAAGACGGCCCAAGAGGCCTGCAAGAGCTCTCCCAAGAGAGCTTCCCGAGGCACACATCGTCCCACTCTCTAGGGTCAAGACAACATGTTCTGAAAATGCTGCTTGTCGGCACTCGCGGCGTCCAAGGCGGCAACCAAAAGCCTCACAGATCATCCCAAGACGGCCTCAGAAGCCCCAAGAGGTCACAGAGACGTCCCAAGAGGGCCCCAAGAAGCGCCCAAGACGGCCCAAGAGGACCCTCAGAGGGCCCTCAGAAGGAGTCCAAGAATGGGAACTCGAACTAAGATTTCGAGGCCTCCGCCCAACGGGCCCTCGAGACTGCCAGCAGGCCCCCGAGAGGCCCCTCAGAAGCCCTAAAGAGGCTCCCGCAGGTCCCTAAAATGCTCCCAAGATGCCTCCTCACATGCTCCAGTAGCTCTGACCTCGCAACTCACACAATCGATCGCGCGCCATAGCCGTCCCAAGCCGATCATATACCGAACCGAGGCGCCACTTATCACGGCGACGGTCAACACATACGCAGCTATACACTTACATATCTGCATGTGTGCACATATGTACATCTATTCATGGTTGTACACACATATATGTATATATACATACATATATCTATATGTATGTATAGATGTGTATGTGTGTGTGCCCACCTGCATGTCTACAGGTATATCTCGATACATCTATAATATATATATATATATATGGGTGCACGCCTATCAATACATATATGTGTATCCACGTAGGTGGCATAACAACCTATACACATTAACCTGCACATATATGTACACATATGCCAACGACGGTGGTTGTTTCCATCTATGTATGGAGATACAGATCTTTATGTCCGCTTTTACACATACATGTATGCCTGCAATTCGATTTATGCAAAGCTATATCTATGTATATACACGGACGCAGCAATATGCACATGTATCCCTCTGTATCTATGTATACTGATGGAGCCGACTATATGTGTACAGTTACGTGCGGTGTGCACAGTGAAAGGTATGGCTGTACGCGTATACATTTGCTACACGTATACAAATACATATATGTATATATATATACATGCATACGCACCAAAATATGTATGATCACATGCCAATATATATACACGTGTGTATATATATATATATATATATACTAGAACCATCGCGCGCGCTTCGCGCGCGCTCAGGTTCTAGCCCAGGCCTGGGGGGCGCTGGACGATCTTGGACAACGCTATCAAGCACAGGCGCGCGACGGCATCTGAGGAGCTTCTGGGGTGTTCCGCATGCTTCGTCAACTGGCTGTTGGAGGCACCTCTTGGGTGCTTCTTGGGGGGGCGTCTGAGGGTCCCTTGGGGGCATCGGTTCTGCAATCTGAAGCCGTCATTGGCCGTCTTGGCTGCGTGGAAGCCCGACTTGAGGCCACCTGCGGCCAGATTGAGTTAATCCGGAAGCCTCCCGGGGGCCTCCTGGAAGCAGTTTTGACGCATCGAGGGCACTCTTGGGCTATCTTAGAGCCTCTTGGACGTCTCCTATTGGGGTTCTCGTCGGACCATTTGGGGGCCTCTTGCGGCCTCCTGTGGGCCTTGTGGGGGGACCGATCTGCTGTTGGGTCGCGTTCCCCTTCTTGGGCCTCTCTTGGGGCTCTTGGGGCCCTCTCGGGCCGTCTTGGGCGCCTCAAGCACCGTCTTGGGGCCCTCGCGGGCCGTCTTGGGGCCCTCTTGGAGTCCTCTTCCTCTATATGGGAGCGGTATTGGAAGCCTCTTGGGCCGTCTTGGAGCATCGGGATGCCAAAAGGCCGAAAGCATTAAAACCCGTCAAAGCCCAATCGTAAAACTATGAGTTGTGCCTCTTGGGGCCACCTTGGGAGATCTCTTGGAACCTCGTCGGCCCTCTTGGGAGCTTCTTGGGGGCCTCTTGGATCCGATTGGGGGCCTCTTGGGACTTCCCGAGAACCTCTCGGGGTAGAAAGCTCGGATTCTCGGTTCGTGTTTCCCTTCTTGGGCCTCTCTTGGGGCCGTCTTGGGGCCCTCTCGGGCCGTCTTGGGCGCCTCAGGCACCGCCTTGGGGCCCTCGTGGGCCGCGCAGGGCCCTCTTGGAAGCCTCTTCGGCTATCTTGGAGCTGTCTGGGAGGCCTCTTCCTCCTCCTCGTCCCCCTCCTCCTCCTCCTCCTCCTCCCACTCCAACTCTCTCTCCTCCTGATCTTCCTCCTCCTCCTCCTCCTGCAGCGTGTTCCGGAAGGCTCCCGCCGGAACATGCTGTGCACAAGTGCTGTCACTGCTCCCGCCACCGTGCCCTGGGTGGTGGGTCAGAGGCCTCATGGGTGTTGGTTTGGATCTCGTGGTTGGCCTGTCGGGGACGTCGTGAAGGCAGTTTCGCAGCTTCTCGGTAGCCGTTTTGGGACCGTTGTGGGGCCTCCTCGGGGCTGTTTTGTAGCCTCTTTAGGCCTCGTTTGGGCCTCCTGGGTGCCTCTTGGGGGCCTCCTGGGGCCTCTTGGGGGCTCCTTGGGGCCTCCTGGGGCACTCTTCAAGCGGGAGGGTCGAATTTTGGAGTCGTGGTCCCCCTCTTGGGCGCATCTTGGGGCCGTCTTGGGGCTCTGTTGGGCTGTCTTGGGCGACTCTGGGGCCGTCTTGGGGCCCTCTTGGGCCGTCTTGGGGCGCCCTTGGGGGCCTATTGAGCCGTCTTGGAACGTCGGACAGCCGAAAAGGCTGGAAGGCCAAAATGGTTCGAAAACCTTCTTACAATTGACGATTTCGGCCTCTGGAAGTGCTCTGGAGAGGCGTCTTGAAGCGTCGTGGAGTGCCTTGGGGGGCCTCTCGGACCGTCTTGGGCCTGTCTTGGGCGTCCTGGAGCGGTCTTTCGGCGACTCGGGGCCCGCTTGGGCCATCTTGGGAGCCTCTGGAGGCCCTCCTGGACTATTTTGGACCTCCCCAGCCGCCCCGTCCTCCCATGGGGGGTCGGAGGCGGCGGCCTCAGAGGCCCAGGACGCGGAAACCCTGTAAAACACACGGAAAATAAGCCCGGTACCCCCATGGCGGCTCTTCGGCGCTCTTGGACCGTTGGAAGCTAGAAAACGCGAGAAGCCAAAAACATTGAAAAGACCATTGAACATATACGACTTTGGCCTCTTCGGGCCGTACCGTGATACCTATCAGACTTCTTGGGATCTCTTGGAGGCCACCTGGAAGCCTCGAGAGCCGTCGGAAGGCTGACTTGGGCTGCTCGGGAGCGTCTTGGGCCATCCTTTCGCATTCTGGGGGCTCCTGGGGGGCGTCTTGGGCCCTCCTGGAGCGCTGTGGAGGCTGCCTGGAAAGGCTGGGGCAGCGGTGCCGGGACGTCCCCGAGATGTGGCCATATCTTTTCAGCGCGTTCCGGGAGCATCTGCCCGGAACGCGCTCGTGGCAGGGCGCCCACGTCCGAGGACGTTGGCATGGGAAACCGCAGCGCGTGAACATTCCAGCGCGTTCCGGCGAAGACCGTCCGGAACGCGCTTGGGCAAGCGCTGGGTTTGGGGAAGGCGAGTGGAGACCGTTCAGGCAGTTTGGGATGCTCGGGGCAAGAGGCGGAAGCCATCCTCATAAGACATGCAGTCTTCCTGGAGCCGTCTTGCAGAAAACACAGAAAAACTGAGACCCTGCAGTCGTTCCTGGAGCCGTCTTGGAGCCCTCTTGGGCTGCCCTGGAGCCTGTTGGAGCCCTCTGCGGAATGGTCTTGGAGCCCGCGCCGAGGATCTGGAAAATGTCCGGGAGCATCGCGGCGGCCTTCGAGGCCCGGGACGCCGAAACCGCGTAAAAGCACAGCGAAAATGAGCCCCGGTACTGGAGGGTCGGGCAGCTGTTTTCGGGCCCCTGGGCTAGAACCATCGCGCGCGCTTCGCGCGCGCTCAGGTTCTAGCCCAGGCCGGGGGGGCGCTGGACGATCTTGGACAACGATATCAAGCACAGGCGCGCGACGGCATCTGAGGAGCTTCTGGGGTGTTCCGCATGCTTCGTCAACCGGCTGATGGAGGCACCTCTTGGGTGCTTCTTGGGGGGGCGTCTGAGGGTCCCTTGGGGGCATCGGTTCTGCAATCCGAAGCTTTCATTGGCCGTCTTGGCTGCGTGGAAGCCCGACTTGAGGCCACCTGCGGCCAGATTGAGGCAATCCGGAAGCCTCCCGGGGGCCTCCTGGAAGCAGTTTTGACGCATCGAGGGCACTCTTGGGCTGTTTTAAAGCCTCTTGGACGTCTCCTAGGGGCCTTTGAGGCTCTCGGGAAGCTTTTGGGGTCCTCGTCGGACCACTTGGGGGCATCTTGCGGCCTCCTGTGGGCCTTTTGGGGGGACCGCTCTGCTGTTGGGTCGCGTTCCCCTTCTTGGGCCTCTCTTGGGGCTCTTGGGGCCCTCTCGGGCCGTCTTGGGCGCCTCAAGCACCGTCTTGGGGCCCTCGCGGGCAGTCTTGGGGATTTCTTGGAGGCCTCTTCGTCTATATGGGAGCGGTATTGGAAGCCTCTTGGGCCGTCTTGGAGCATCGGGATGCCAAAAGGCCGAACAAATTAAAACCCGTCAAAGCCCAATCGTAAAACTATGAGTTGTGCCTCTTGGGGCCACCTTGGGAGATCTCTTGGAACCTCGTCGGCCCTCTTGGGAGCTTCTTGGGAGCCTCTTGGATCCGATTGGGGGCCTCTTGGGACTTCCCGAGAATCTCTCGGGGTAGAAAGCTCGGATTCTCGGTTCGTGTTTCCCTTCTTGGGCCTCTCTTGGGGCCGTCTTGGGGCCCTCTCGGGACGTCTTGGGCGCCTCAGGCACCGCCTTGGGGCCCTCGTGGGCCGCGCAGGGCCCTCTTAGAAGCCTCTTCGGCTATCTTGGAGCTGTCTGGGAGGCCTCTTCCTCCTCCTCGTCCCCATCCTCCTCCTCCCACTCCAACTCTCTCTCCTCCTGATCTTCCTCCTCCGCCTCCTGCAGCGTGTTCCGGAAGGCTCCCGCCGGAACATGCTGTGCACAAGTGCTGTCACTGCTCCCGCCACCGTGCCCTGGGTGGTGGGTCAGAGGCCTCATGGGTGTTGGTTTGGATCTCGTGGTTGGCCTGTCGGGGACGTCGTGAAGGCAATTTCGCAGCTTCTCGGTAGCCGTTTTGGGACCGTTGTGGGGCCTCCTCGGGGCTGTCTTGTGGCCTCTTTAGGCCTCGTTTGGGCCTCCTGGGTGCCTCTTGGGGGCCTCCTGGGGCCTCTTGGGGGCTCCTTGGGGCCTCCTGGGGCACTCTTCAAGCGGGAGGGTCGAATTTTGGAGTCGTGGTCCCCCTCTTGGGCGCATCTTGGGGCCGTCTTGGGGCTCTGTTGGGCTGTCTTGGGCGACTCTGGGGCCGTCTTGGAGCCCTCTTGGGCCGTCTTGGGGCGCTCTTGGGGGCCTATTGAGCCGTCTTGGAACGTCGGACAGCCGAAAAGGCTGGAAGGCCAAAATGGTTCGAAAACCTTCGTACAATTGACGATTTCGGCCTCTGGAAGCGCTCTGGAGAGGCGTCTTGAAGCGTCGTGGAGTGCCTTGGGGGGCCTCTCGGGCCGTCTTGGGCCTATCTTGGGCGTCCTGGAGCGGTCTTTCGGCGACTCGGGGCCCGCTTGTGCCGTCTTGGGGGCCTCTGGAGGCCCTCCTGGACTATTTTAGACCTCCCTGGCCGCCCCGTCCTCCCATGGGAGGTCGGAGGCGGCGGCCTCCGAGGCCCAGGACGCGGAAACCATGTAAAAACACTGGGAAAATGAGCCCCGGTCCCCCCATGGGGGGTCGGGGCACCTGTCCTGGGGCTCCCGGCCTCGCCCCCAGGGATATACATATAGCTAACGATCTCTCGTGTATCCGCCAATGTATCTATGATGTTGTATACATGGTGAAATGACTAATATGTATGACACATATCTTGGTAGCCATGTATATGGATGTACAAACTTCGGTCCATACACACAGAGCACATTTACATAAATGTGTATACCCATACGTCTATAAACGCCACCTGTCTGGATGTTAGATCTATACAAGCCAATATATATATATATATATGACTAAACGTGCATTTCAATCTTTTTCTATAGATACATCGCTGATGCACACATTCATATGCATACATCTATATATATACATAAATACACATGTGTATATGTATGTATATATATATACGTGCATAAATCAGACATGTCGATCGAGCGTTTTTAGATACATGTAAATACATGTGTAGCGGTAACTGGAAGATCTTATGTACATCTAGGGACGTGTATGCATACACACATATGTTTGTATACACATATGCGTCGAAAGGTCAAGCAACTTCCTGAACACATCTCCGATCGGAGTATTCAGCCCGCAGCACCGGAAATCCCGACCCCTTCCATGGGTGCAATTTTTTGCCGTGGATCCATCTTTTGGAGATAACTCCCGGGGGCCGTCAAACCAGGGGCCCCAGAGATGTCGAAGTCTAACAAGAAAAACAAAACAATACGCACTGGAAAGTCGAACTAGCAGATACCTGGCAAACCGCTTCCTGGAGCGAAAGAGTAACCCCAGGCAAGAGTGACCTTTGATTCGCGGCTCAACGGGGGATGCGGGGGGGGGGGGGGGGGGGGGGCAAACCTGGGCGCGCAAGCCGCTGCTACCGTTAGGTCGGGAATGTCCCCCTACAGGGGGATTAGGGACGAAAACAAAAAAAATCAAACATTGCCCCCAAATGGTCAAAAAAAACTAGGAACCAAATCGTCCCCTGACTATTGTTTGACTATTTTGGAATATTCCTCCTGGAGAGGGACAGGCCCGACTCAATGCTACCGTTTCGCCTCAAGCATCCGGGGAGCCTTTGGTGCCCGCGCCACATGCAGGTCACTGCGGCGAAAGGTCCCTCTTGCGCGCGCCCAGTCGATCCCCCCCCGGCGGGCCCCGGGGCCTCCGCCGGGCGCGGCGCCGCGGGCTGCTTGGGCTTCTGGGACGAGAGCCTGCGGGCGGGAGGCGCCGACGGGCTGTGGTGCATGCGCCCGCTGCGGCTGCCCGCAGGAAGCGGCCCTGGGCCGCGGTGACTTCCGGGATGCGGCGTGCCAGACGCTGGCTGCGTGCGGTTTGACAGCCGTGGCCTGCGCCTTCGGGCGTGGGCCCCCCCGCCCGCGCTCCGAGAGAGACGCGCGCCAAACGTCGCTCTGGCGAAGCGCCACTCTTTGGGGGAGACGTAAGACTCGGGTAAGGAGGACTCGGGTTGGCCTGACGGGGCCATCATAAAAATGACGAGACCCAATCTGAAATTTGACGCGGGCCCCCGATGCAGACACCCTACGAAAACTGGACCGTCAAAATCCAGGACGCGCTCGTCAAAAAACGTCGGCACACCCGAGTTCCAGCTCACTCGAGTCTCACGTTTCCCCGACTCTTACCTGTAATTAGTCGACTCCCCTGGGACCTGCAGCACCGCAACTGCCAGCCCGGTTGGCCTCGCCCGGCTTCGGGCCCCAGGGCCCCGGCAGAAAGACCCAGCTCGAGAAATGCCGCAGGCAGCCGGGGTCGAGGGCGTCTCGCGATGGGTCGCGACGTTGATGGTTGTCGCGACGTCGGATCTCGGGGCGAACCGGTGCGGGCAGAGGGGGGGCCATCGCCGACCCAACGTAAGAAATCCGCGCCGCCCGGCGGAAGCTTCTGTTGCCGCTTATGCCCACCACCCTGACCATAAAAGACGTCCCTGCGGCCGTTTCATGCGATCGTCTCGAGCCCGTGGGCCATCGACGATCGATCTGGCCTGAAGCCCACGAGACGAGTCGGGAGATCTGCTGTTGTGCTCTTCACGACGTCGGGTGGTCGGGGCATGTGCGCCACAGGCCCGCTCTGGTCGCTCCTGGGTGATCTGGCCTCCTGTCCTGGCCAGGAAGCGATTCCTACCGAGATCGGGATCCGACATGGGCTCGTGGAGCCCCGTAGGCCTCCGACGTCTTGTTAGCTTCAACGCGTGGCCCCTGGACCTCTCGACGCAGTCACGGAAATTCAAGGATACCGGGAGCAACCGCCCAAGAAAAACAGTATCAAACGTGCAAGGTGCACCACCGTGCGGGTCGAACTCCGTAATTGTTTTGTGCAACCGTTGTGGGAACAGAGAAAATCAAGAAACCCGCTGCTGGGTGACTTCCGTAAGGATCCCCGTGTAGAAACAGGCTGTCATCCGTCATCCCTTTTGCGAAGAAATGCGCATGGTTCGCCCGAAATGTGCTGATGGACGTCAAGCATTCCGCCTCCGTATCAACGTTCCTCCGTAATCCGTCCGTCTCTGAGAAGACTGTCTGTGTTCGTCCCCAAACAGTTTTGTTAACAACCAGGGGTCCGAAAACAGCCGCAAAATCCACACCTCTGCCCTGAGCCTCCTGCACGGAGGGGGCGTGGGGGGCTCCTTCCTGAACCTCTTGTCCTTAACTGATCCTCTGCGCCCTGTCCTGAAACCCTGGTGGCACCACAACCACTGCCCTGCACTGAGCCTGTGCCGAACCTCTGCCCCTGAACACAGTCGCACAAGGTCTGTGATCCTGGTGGATCCTCCTGACATCTCCCCTCATCCTCCTCCTCCGTCCTCCTCTGTCATCTTCCCCCCTCCTCCTCATCCTCCCTGCGTCCTCCTGCCTCCCCCTCCTGCTCCTCTTCCTCCTTCTCTTCCTCCTCCTCCTCCTCCTCCTCCTCCCCATCCTCCTCGTCCCCCTTTCTCCTCCTCCTCCACCTCCTCCTCATCCTCCTCCTCCTCCTCGTCCTCCTCCTCCTCTCCTCCTCCTCCTCCTCCTCCCCCCTCTCCTCTCCTCCTCCTCCTCCGCCTCCTCCTCCTCTCCTCCTCCTCCTCCTCCTCCTCCTCTCCTCCCTCCTCCCTCTCCTCCTCTCCTCCTCCTCCTCCTCCTCCTTCCTCCTCCTCCTCATCATCATCATCATCATCACCCCCACCACCACCACCACACCACCTTCACCACCATCACCACCACCATCACCATCACCATTTCATCATCATCATCACCACACCACCACCATCATCATCATCATCATCATCATCATCACCACCATCATCATCATCATCATCACCACCACCATTATCATATCATCACCACCACCACCATCATCATCATTATCATCACCATCATCATCATCATCATCATCATCACCACCACCACCAACATGATCACCACCACCACCATCATCACTACCACCACCACCACCACCACCATCACCATCATCATCATCATCATCATCATCATCATCATCATCATCATCATCATCATCATCATCATCATCATCATCATCATCATCATCATCCCTCCCCTCTCCTCCTCCTCCTTCTCCGCGCGGCTCCCCTCTCCCGAGAGCCTGTCGATGCCGTCGGAGCCAGGCACAGGGAGGGCGAACGGCACGAGCGGCACCTCGGGCGGCACGGTCCCGCGCTTCGACACCTTGCGTAAGCCACCGTCCCTGGCGAGGCCCGCGGGGTACAGCGGGGATCGAGGCGGCGACGGGCTCGCCTTGCGCGGGGCCTCCTCCGGCGCGGCCCCGCGCTTCGAGGCGACCTGGGTCTGGGCGCCGCCGATGCCGTCGGGCCCCGCGCCGTCGTTGGGACCCCCTGGGAGGGCGGCCGCAGGCGGCGACGGGCTCGCCTTGCGCGCGGCCTCCGGCAAGGCCCCGCGCTTCGAAGCGACCCGGGGCTGGGCGCCGTCGATGCCGTCGGGCCCCCCGGGAGCGGGCGCGCGGCTCGGCCGGCGCGCGCTGGCCCCGGGGCTGCTCGACGACCTGCGGGAGCCGCCCGCGCCGTTGGGACCCTCGGGGAGGGCGGCCGCCGGCGGCGACGGGCTCGCCTTGCTCGCGGCCTCCGGCGCGGCCCCGCGCTCCGAGGCCTTGCTGCGAGAGCTGCCGAGGCTGTCGGAGCCCCCGGGCAGCGCGGCAGCGGGCGGCGGCGAGCGGCTCGACGGGCGCGCGGTGGCCCCCGGGCTGCTCGACGACCTGCGGGAGCCGTCGGAGCCGACGCCGCCGGGGCGCCGGTGGAGGGCGGCGGGCGGCGGCGAGCGGCTGGACTTGCGCGCCGAGCCCGCGCGGCTCGACGGCTTGCGGGTGCTGTCCATGCTGTACGTGTCGGCGTCCCCGGGGAGGGCGGTGGGGAACAGCGGCACCTCGGCGCGGAGGGAGGCCCATGGGCATCCGATGCCTCGGATAACTACTCGTCCCTGCTTTGGACCTCCGGAGGCCAGATTTGGGGCACCGTCACTGCCAACAAACAAGCTCGGGAAGAAGCACGAGCCCTGGGGATGAAAGGGCCGAGGGGCCTGGGGGGCCACACACATCGAACAGATCGAAGCGCCGGGTGTCGTGCAAGCGCATCATGGCACATGATCATCGTCGGAGGATGTGCTGCTCTAGAAAGATATTCATGAAATTATGCATTGTTGCGCGTCCCGTAAACGCCGAGGCTCAAATCCCGAAGTCCTTCAACATGTTATAGATAGAGCCGCTTTCAATGAGGAACCTCTTCTGGTGGCAAGAGAGGCGACGCAAGTTGCACAGGAAGCTTGATACTATTGCCTCGTGGGTCGACTCACTCCCCAGAAATCCGAGTAGCACCGAAGTGTGTCTCACCGAGGTGGGAGCCCAGCCATGAATTTATTCCTGAGGCAGTGCTGGTGGCCGCTGGGGCGTGGGCTCCCCATTGCATTGCAGTCTCCTCGCCTCGTGTCACTTGCAGCGGCTGTGGAAAGGACGAGGCGACCCTTGATCTCCGACTGCTCATCACGCAAGCCTTCCTTCAAGTGTGTTGCACGCGAAAATCCAGCAATACGCTTGCGACCCGGAACGCATTGCACTCCCCAAATGTATTGCAACCCCGCAAATCTATTGCACCAAATCTATTGCACCACCCTCTTGTCGCTGGACCCCCTTTTGGGTCAACCCGACAGATGTCGCCCGAGTGGTGAAGCAGACTGAAAGCGTCACGAGAGGTCTCTCAGCTGCGTGCCGAGCACATGAGATCGGAGGATCGCACCGCGTCGTCGATGCATCGGCGACGTCGCCGATGCATCGGCGCCGTTAGTGTCGGCGTGGAGGAAATCGGGCTCCACATCGGCGACGCGGCGCGGTCCTCCGACCCCGTCTACTCGGACCACGGTTCGCGGGGCCCGGGACCCTCCAGACAGCATCCCTTGGAAAACAAACTGCCTGGCATGGGGAAAGCTAAAGGGGCCCCAGGACACACAAATAAATACACACAAATAAAAATGTTCCCCACCGTTTCCAATATTTTCTAGGTTTTCGTCTTCCCCCCCACTTCCCATATTTTCCAATATTTTCCTGAGACTCGGGGATTAATTGTGTCTGTGTGTTTTTCCTCCTCCTGAGAAGCGGGCCCCGAGGGGAAGGGGGGCCCTGGACCCCGGGGCGACGAGATCTTCACCCTGAGCCGTGCTCTGACAGTCCCTGGGCCCGTGGGCCCCGGGAGCCCCAAAACGTTGACAAACCTCCGGATCTGCAGACGCCCGACGTCGTGCTGTTTTTTCGCAACGTCGACCCCCAGAGGTCTCCACCCATTCCCCAGGACCGCTCTCTCCGTCCCAACTCGACGCTGGACGGTCCCGAGGCCCGGCGCAGGCCCACGGAAACCGAACACGGCGGAAAACCTCCCGCCGTGATCTCTTCACAGCGCGAGGGGGTCCGGGGACTCGCTGCCCCGACGGTGACCCAAATAGGGGGTCACGTGCGAACCCTACCCCTGCCCCCCACGATTTCTGAGGAGGAGGGTCGGGTTCACTTCGCTCGAGAGCTCCCCAGCGAAATGACCCCCACCCTCCGCCTCAGAAATCGTAGGGGGTAGGGGTAGGGTGCGCATGTGGCCCGCGACAAAACTGCGGAGTCCGCCAGGCCTCCGCCGTGGACCTCCGCCAAAGCCTGGCTCCGCGGCGTCTGGCGGGCGGGCACGCGCACCCGCTGCTTGCTTCTACAGGGCATAAGAAACTCGGATGTTTTCAAATATGGGATGTTTTAACACATGATTAGATTACGCATCAATTCACGCACGAGCTCATCTTCGTTTTTGATACTCCATCCCTGTAGTTTAAATACATGATCCGCACGCGGAGCATGTCTTATAACACCGGCACTGTGCTCTGCCGCCGGCCTCCGCGTCTCGGCCCCACCGCCGCCCGGCGGGGGACGAGGCAGCCTGAGCTCCTGGGCCCCATCGGAGACAGGGGCCTCACGGCGAGGGCACCGGATGGGAGGCGGCTCCCGGGAGGTCCTCCTCCTCCTCCTCCACCTCCTCCTCCTCCTCCTCCTCTTCCTCCTCTCCTCCTCCTCCTCCTCCTCCTCCTCCTCCTCCTCCTCCTCCTCCTCCTCCTCCTCCTCTTCCTCCTCCTCCTCCTCCTCCTCCTCCTCCTCCTCCTCCTCCTCAGGTCGCTGCCTGAACGATGCAGGGCGATGCAGCCCGATGCAGGGGCCCTTCCGCCAAAGGAGTGTGGATTCATAGCAAGCCTGGGATAAGGCCAGATGAGGCGGGATTCAAACGGGATTAGAGCACATTAGGCCCGCTTCGACAGGGGAAACACCAGCGCCGAGTCAATAGTTAACCTCCCAGGAGTTGAATCCCAGCATTTGATAAGGAACCCTTGGATAAGGAACCCAGGGTCTGGAAGCCAGTGGACCTCCAATCGTGAATTGACCACATGGATATCACCGCAGCCCTCGTGAGAGAAGGAACCATCCAGGGTTTGCAGCCTCCTAGGCACATTCCTTGGCCAACGCCCTCAGCGTATTCTGGAACACCTCGCTTGGAAGGCCTGGAGTCTGAAGTAAGATGGAACAGGGACGTGGTCAAAATCATGCAGGGGACAAAGGCTGGGATCTCTGAAACTGGAGCGCCTCATTTGAAAGGCCTGGAGCCTGAAGCAAGACGACACCAGGACGTATGGTCACAATCAGGCAGGGAAGCAAGTCTGGGATCTCGGAGAGTCGGCGGTGGACAAGACGCCTCCGGCGCCGCGGCGTTCTCATGAGCGCCCCTGGGACGCTCCGCGAGAGCGCTCCGGGACGCTCTCTGGCGCGATCCTGCCTTCAGACCCCCGACGCCACGATTTTTGGCGGCGCGCAAAAGGGGGTGGAGGGAGGGGAGAGGGCTTCTTAGAAGGAGGCTGCTTCTTCGAAGGCGCCGGCCTTACATCTACAGATAAGGCCCGCGCCTTCTAAGAAGCGGGGGTCCCCTGGCCTCTCCCCTCCCCCCACCCCCCTCTGCGCGTGGCTGAGATTTGTCCATGCCTCGAGGCCCAGACCTCCGACGAATTGTGCGTTCCTCAGGACGACTGCCCTGCTGGAGGCCTGGACCTCCCCCCCTCTTCACCCCGACATGTCGTTTTCGGACGGCCCCGGGGCCCGGCGAGGCCACCCAGAGGCCGAAAACTGAGAAAAAACCTTCGCCTCGAGCTTCTCGAGACGTTGGAGATCCATGGGGGGGTCTGGGTTTAAGCCGGGCGTGTCCCTCTACAGGAGGGATATCCAAAAACAGTCAAAGAATAATCAGAGGACGATTTGCTGACTCTTTGTAGCATGCTTTCACATTATCTCTTATCCTTCGCTCAAAATTCGGGCTGGGCGAAAAGGGGGTTTGAGAATCAGCTCGCGTAGCTGATTTTCCCGGCGCCTCCAGGCGCCGGCGCCGGGGCGAAACCAGCTGCATGCAGCAGATTTCGTCGCCAACCCCATCCCCCCTTTGGTCGGCCCGAAAAATCTGCCTGCGTGCCCGACCGATAAGTCTGGGTCCCTGTCCTGCGGCCCCGCGCCCGATTCCGGCCCCATGGAAGGGCACCGCCGGAGGCGGCGACGCGCTGGGCCGGCGTGGAGCCTCCGGGCCGCCGCCGCGGCTGGGCTGCCCCGGGGGCCCCTCGCCGCCCTCGCGGCCGCCGCCGCCGCCCGGGTGGGCCCGGGCCGGCGCGGGCGGGCCGACGAGGAGCTCGACGTCCAGCTCCTCTTGGGCGCAGGGGACGCCCTGGATGAGGGGAGAAAGGAGAACTATCGTGTTGGGAGGAAGGGGTTGCGAGGATGCATCTCAAGCACACCCAACAGGGGGTCCAGCTGAAAGGGGGTGGTGCCATAGATTTGGGGCAAGTGTATTGCACATGCATTGCGCCAGAGAATTGTAATGCACTGTATTGTAACTAATATATTGAACGCGAAAATCCAGCAATACATCTGCGCCCCGGAATGTATTGCACGCCCCAAATGAATTGCAACCCCACAAATCTATTGCACCAAATCTATTCCACCACCCCCTTGTCGCTGGACCCCTTTTTGGGTCAACCCGAATGAAGGGTATGAGGTATGAGCAATAGCATCCAAATGCAATGAACGATAGCTTCGGCCGCCTACGGGTCGGCGCGGGCGGGCCGACGAGGAGCTCGACGGCCAGCTCCTTGGGCGCAGAAGGGCCTCGGCGAGGGCCAGGGCGGCTCGGAAGCCGGAGGCCTCCCTGGACGAGAAGAGCAAGTATCGCGTTGGGAGGAAAGGGTTGGGAGGGAGGATGAAGGGCATGAGCACTGGCATCCAGATGCAATGAACGACACCTTCGGCCGCCTACGAATAAGGATCTCCTCACTTTTCCCAACCCCATCCTCCCAACCCGAAGACAGTCTTCTGGACTCGAAGGGCCCAGGGGCTCTCGAGAAGGACTCTTCCGGACGCCGGAGGGGGGGATGGCTGAGGAGGCCCTTGCCTTCTCAAGAGCCCCACCGGCCTCGCAGAAGCCCGCCCCCACTCGCGTCACTCAAGGGCTCCAACCAGGATGGTCTCAGGCTCTGGGAGCATAGTGGAGGTCCCGGGCATCTGCTCTGTTCCTTCCACCGTGACAGGGCAAGTCCCATGGAGCGGTGCCACTGGATGCAATGGGGCTGGGGAGTCAGCCCAGGCTTCTCCGATGTGGCCCCTCTCCAGTCCTGAAGTTCTTTTCCCTCGATGCTGGGATCTGAGCCACAAAAAGTGGACCTGGGGCGCCGAGCTACGCCTGGGCATGGGGTCGGGAGATCCGGGGGACGTCCTGGTCTTGGTAACATGCTTGGGCTTTGGAAAAAGGAAGCCCGTCGGCAGGGAAAGATCGGGACGCGGGGGGGGCAACCATCAATAGGGGGCCACATGCGAACCCTACCCCTACCCCCCACGATTTCTGAGGGGGAGGGTGGGGTTCACTTCGTATGGGTAGGGGTTCGCATGTGGCCCCCTAGTCAAGACAGCTGGTCTCTAGAAGCCCACATCTCCCGCGGATGGGGTGCTTCAGTTCCGGGCGGCTTCTCCTCGGTCCCAGCCTCCGCGACCGCTTCGGGCCGCCTCGGACGTGGATCCAGCACGGACCTGCCTGTCCCCCGGGCAGGGCTCGGGACCCCTGCGCGCGAGCACGCCGTCGGACGTCGGGCCCGTCCCCGCCGGGTTCCGCCCTGGAGCCTCGAGGAGGGAGGCGCCCGGACGTCTTCGGCGCGGCGCCTGCACGCCTCTGGCCCCGTGGTGCCCACCGCTGTGGATCGAGCGTGGCATGAGAGCGAGTGCGAAGCGAAGCGAAGCTAGGAGGCAAATACTGGGAGGCTTTCGTCGGAAAGATTAGGGAGGATTGAGCTGCATGTGGGAGCTGTTACGCCGGAGTGGGCCTCGGACTAAGCATACTTAAGCCGGATTAAGCGGGATTCAGCCGGACTTTGGACCAGGGCAAAATCAGAACTTGACCTCCCAGGAGTTGCATCCGAAGCGAAGGACGCCACGCCCATCCTTGCCTCCCTCCCCAGGGATCCAACTTCTTGAAAAAATCAAGACGGAGGTTCTGCTGAGTTTTTGGCCTCTAAGGCCCTCGCCGGCCCCCGGGACCGTCGGAAAACGACCCAGAACGAAAAACCGGTCCCGGGAAGGGGTTGGGACTTCCAGGGGGCCCGCACGGAAGAAATCAAGGCATCGGATGTCTGGGCCTGGCCCTTCCGGGGCGCCTACGCAGAACTCCGGGGGGGGCCTCCCTGGGTCCCGATCCCGGGGGCGGCGGCGGGCTCCCTGGGGCTGGCCAGCTATGCGCAGGGCCAGCGGGGCGGGCGGGCAAGCAGGGCCAGCGGAAGACGACGGGCAGGGCGCAGGGGCGATGAGGGCGGCGACCAGGGGGGCCAACCCAGAGGTCCAACGTGCTGAAAAAAAGCAAGTCGGAGGTATTTCGCTGCTTTCGGCCTCTGTAGGGGCCCTCGCCGGGCCCCAGGACCGGCAGAGAACGAGTCGGGATGAAAAACTGGGCCTGGGGAATGGGTCGAGACGTCTGGGGACCACGCGTGTTGCACAAATCACGGCGTCGGATCTCTGGGAAGGAAGAGGGGAGCCGGGAGAGGGGTCGGGCCAGGGGGGCCGGGAGATCGAGGGGCGGGCCGCCCGCGACGAGGACGCGGCCAATGCGGCGACACCGGCCGCGCAGGCGGCAGCGCTGGCGGAGCGCAGGGTCGGGCGGG